GAAAGGACACATATGTAATATCCTTTGTAATACTTTAAGCAATAAAACAATAAAAAAATAAAATAAAATAAAAAATTAAAAGAATTTAAACATGAAAATATAACCAGAAGATTCAAGGTGTTGCTGTAGTTATCTCACTCCTGTCCCTTCCTGCCTATGAAGATTCTTTGCTGATACTATATCAGTGCTTGATTATTGCAAAGCAGGTTTGTTATATATTCCTAGCCAGATGGCTTAGGCTTTTAAGATCTTGGATAACTGTTGTACTGTTTCACATGTTTCCTTGTGAGCAATATGGGACATGGAGGGTAGAGGATGTACCTTGAAGACAGGGTGCAGTCCTGGGAGGCACCTCATGGTGGCTACAGCAATGACCTCAGCCAGCAGATGAGTGTTCAGAAAGTGATACTGTAACTCGTGCAATTGGAAATCTGAACTTCGGACCCAGGTCTTTGCCAGGAGCCAGGCAAGTGGAGGGGGGTCTGAGGGGAACAGTGGTGGGATGGGGCAGCTGGCATTGGGAGGCTGGATCTGCAATAAAGAGGAGCTAAGCGTCCATTGACCTCATCATATGTTACACACCATGCTCAGTATTCCGGGGGAAACTGATGACTAATATTATTGTCATGTAGAGGGCTATAATCTAGTAGGAGGAATGAGGACCCTTCCACTCATCCTCTCACTAATAGCGGGGAAGTGTGAGTACTAATAGTCAGGTTCAAAGCAGGAGGAATTGGAAAGGGGAGAGTTCAGTATGGCCATAACAGTGGTTTTGGAGAAACCTGATGAAAGTGTGAGTTAGGATGGAAGGAGAAGCTGGACGTGTGAGATACCTAACAGTTCTTATCAATCAATTTATGAGAACAGAGAGAAAATGCATTAAAAACAAAGGAGAAAATATGTCCAAGAAAGAAAGGATATTCCACAGATTCAAAGGTCTGAAAGAGATTGAGTAGGCTTAGGGTGAGTACCAACAGAGACCATTCTGACTCCCAAAAAAGGCAATTTCATGTGAGTAGTGAGCAAGCTGCCAGGAAGACTGGAACCAACAACAGATCTCACTGAGTGAGACAGAGGAGCGGGGACAAGAGCTGGCTGTCTTTGTCCCCGGGCAGTAGTTGGGGAGAAGGGAGAGCAGTGTTAGAAAGAGGATTTCCAAAATATCTCACCTGGATGACCATGGGTAGCAGCTTCCCACTGGGTTCCATCTTCAGCATGACGAAGGGGGCAGCCAGGTACTGCTTCTCTCCTTGGATCACGTTGGCTGGAATTCCATCCAGCAGGATAAAGTCAGCTTCAAATAGGGAACCGTTCTGGGGGGAAAGTTCAAAGTCTACTCCAGAGGGCCAGCCCCAAGGGGAAGAAATGTAATAACATTCAGTCTCATTTCTTACAATTATCCTACATCAATATCAGGTTCTTAGTGGCAGAAAGGAAGGAGGCATCCAGAACATTTAGTCCAAGCCATCTCAGTTGACAGTGAGGAAAGAGGCAAAAAGAGAGGAATCTTCCCCAGGGACATGTTCATTCCCTGTGGCAGTGGTGGTTTTAAGACCATACTTGACCAATTTCTTTGCTCCACGGGCATGCTAAGCTTCCCCTTGTCAAGGTGCCCAAGCCTCTTTCCTCTCCATATCCTATTTTTCTGCTACCTCTACCTGGCATCCACCCGTCCCATAGTTTCCTTTACATACTTTATCAACTCTAAGTTTTCCTGCAAAGGACTCTGCACATAGGGACAGTGATTTAATACAACCTCCCTTCCCTGATTCATCTCTGGTCCTTCCCCTTCACCACATCCCTTCCCCCACAGACAAGGAGAAGACAGCGGAGGGCTGGGGGTGCACCTGGAGTTCTTCCTCCAGCTGGGCCTGAAGCTCCTCCATCCCCGAGGGCAGCACCAGCCGGGAGGGCAGAGAGGTGGAGCGTCTCAACAGCATGGGGTTGGCGCCATTGAGGAACTGGTAGCCAAAAAGCTCATCATCCTGCCAGCGCTGGTGAACCTTCTCTGTGGGGTCAGAGTGGAGGGTGGGGGGAGGATATTCATCACAACCTGATGTCCTTCTCCTTTAGGTTTTAATACAGCAATTCAGGCATATGATCACATTGTACCCAGCCCCTGTCTTTTCTTTTTGCTGACTCTAAGAAATGACCAGGCATAATATCTTCTCACCTGGGAAGTACTTATGAGGGTCTATGGAGTATGAAGTTTGGGACAACAAAACAGGCTATTAAGAATTTACAAAGGTCTATGGGAATACTGACCACAAAGGGGGCTCTTGAGGCCCCAGAAGATCTGATCAAAATCCTCTAGGCTGTCCCAGGAGTTCAGGAGGGTGTAAACACGTTTGAGGATCATCTCCAGTAACCTAGGACAGATATCAAGGTTGGCACTGTCAACTCACCAAATCCTGCCTGTTACGGGATCCACCACTACCCACTCCATTGGGATCTTTTCTCACCCTGTCTTCCCTGTCCATTCATAGTCCAGCCTCTTTTCACCATGAAATTTCATATCTGGGGGCAGATCCTTCA